GGAAAAATCCCGTTTTGTTCATTTGGGCTTGCTACAGTTCAGGACTCAATGTCACGGTCCTGTATCTAATCTCGTAGAGTGCAATGCAAGACCGATGAATTATCAAAGAGTCCAAATCCGGCAAATCGTTTTGAAAAATTGATTTTTAGAAAGAAGTGTCAAACATAGACTGCTTTGCTAGATACAGAGTCGCCACCTAAATATTTTATTTTGGGAGAATTTAGGAAACCCTGACTCGTGCCTAAGGCCACGTGCCCGTCATCACCAAAGTTGACTCGGCTCGGGAACTTGGGTATGATTGGGGAAGGTCACTTCGTGAGCACCCCCACTCGCCCGATCAAAGATCGGCCTCTACGAACCATGATATCGTGTTTTGAAAACATTATGTGCTCTTATTCCAGTTATTAGCCTAGAATTACTATGTGAAGCACACAACATACAAGTATAGACTGGATCGTTTGAGTTGGAACAAAACATTTCATGTTTGTTTATTTGAAAGATGGTTTGATGGTGCTACTCGCAAGTAGGCTAAGACGTGGATTTGCCACCCTCAAGTGGGCTTAAGAAAACATGATTTTGCCACTCTCGAGTGGGCTTAAAACTCTCATTCAATGCATTGTTCCAATTCAAATAACCCAACCTCCACCCATAGGCATTCAGGTAGTTATATCACATAAGCAAATAGCCTCATGGTAAGCATGCTATCATGGCAGTCACTCACACGCATGCAAGGATGCTAAAGCATAAACACTCACCGAGTACTCCAAGCCAAAATAGAAACTAGTTAGTAATCAATGCATGATCCTAGTTCATGTTAAGATGGCTAATGCAACACATGCAAAATGCAACTCAGATAGGCTCGGCTATTCTAAACATGGCATATGAAATGCAACAGATAACATGTATTCAACTTGGAATTGAAATACAATGCAGTTTGTATGATGCGCCGAGCCCGGTGCATGTAAGACAAATGAATGGATGCAAACATGCGAGCATATAGATGCTAATTGAAACATGCCCTAAAACTAACCATCATAAGCTGGTAAATAAAAGGGAGAAAGACGTGGGGTTGGAAGACATACATCACACACACGCACACTTATTACAACATTGCCCTCCTCGGAGGGTCCGAATAAATATTAGACAACCAAAATGAATAACTAATTATTACACAGCACTAGCTAAATAACAAATTAACTAAGAAAGTGAGTAAACTAGCATGCAATGCTACATGAAGTAGACCGCCTCGGGATGATGAAAGATGCATGCATGCTCGAGTCGCCTTGTCGGGAAATCCATCGCGATGCCCTGATTTGCCTCTGTTTACAATTGACCCCGGAACACTGTACACAACTCCATGGGAACTTGTAGGGATACTACTGACCAGTTTTTGCTGTTGGCTTCCGGTTTGCTGCAACAGAGAGTAAGAAAGGGGCATGGCAAAATATTTTCAACATATGTATGCACAACCACTCTCCCCGTCATTGCACGAGCTCTAGAGAGTGCAGTCCTCAATCCTCGTGCCACCAAGCATGCATCTCGATGCATGGTGTCCGAGGAGTCGAATTGCACGACTCAATGTGAAATGAATGCACAAATGGACACCTAAAGCCAACGACTCTATCATGGATAGTCAAGAGTGTCGGCGATCGGGAACTGAAGCACGTTTCGTCACTTTGAGTACAAAACGTCCCTTGTTTCCCGTGTTTGGGCTAAACCCTCCTCCAAACACTATGCAACAACTAGAATGGCATGGCATGCAAACACAATGCAACAACTAGCATGCAATCCTAAACGAAATGCAACTAAGACACGCAAACATGCAAGGAGTGATATGGAAAGGTGCAATTAGCATGCGTAATGCTATGAACTATCAGTGGTATACTCAATGCACATGACATAATATGGCATACACAATGCAATATGGACTTAAACCAATATGAGTGGACCTCAGCCACACTCAAATCAGTGGCCAAACATAATGAAATGAAGCAACAACACTCATGCAAACATGCCCAAATGCAAGGGACCAAAACTAAGGCACCAAGTGCAACTCTACCAAGGCATGGAAAGCATGTAATATAGTATACAACAACACATATTTCAACTCTGAAATGACATACGAAAGGGTCTCGAATCATGCAAACACCTCACACAATGCATGTTAGGTGGCCCAAATACCGAAACTAGTGAAGTAGATTACACTAGAGGTATGCAAAGCGATGCTCAAATGACTAAACCACCCCCAAACAGTCCCTATGCAGACCAAAACAGTAGTAAATATGGACTAAAATGGTGGCTCAAAAGGCATGAAAATGAAGCTCATGCAATGGTCCAAAAATGAGGCAAACAAGCACAACTCTCAAATGCACTTAAGGAGTGGAAAACATGGTATTTCAAGCCACCAGTAAAAGTCCTCTTCATTGAGGCTGAAAGAACTAAAACACAATCGTCTGGTAATTGGTTGGCAATCACAATTTCTGTAAGGACTGATTGATCCTTGCTGGCACGCTCACATTTACAAAAATACTCTTCGAAAAGCCAAAAAGCCAACAACACTGTATTATCACATGATACATATATATTATTATTCGTATATATGATTTTGTGAATGTGAATGTGAATATAAATGTGAATGTGGATGTAGATGTAGATATAGATGTAAATGTAAATGTATTTTGTTTTAGAAAATATTAATAATTTGTACAGAGAATGAATTAATAAAATATATTTATTTTATGAATCTTTTTGTTTTGTGACAGTAATAAACCGTGGCTAATGTAATCGTCATTTCCTTACATTTTATTAACGACGTGTTATCCCGTCGCATATACGTATTAATTCAATTCTTTAGTGACCATTTAAACTGTCCCGAATATATGCATTATTGATTCAATTTTATTTTTTTGCGACGTTTTAGACCATCGCAAATAATACTTTTAGCGACGTCAACTACCATCTCTAAAAAAGTTTTGGTGACAACATCCTAAACCATTGATAAAAGTGATGTTTTTCTCGCTTTTTTGTGTCTAGTTAAATCGTCGTAAAAACTATTAATTTGCCGTCACTACAAGAAAGCGACAGTTTGTAACCATTACAAATACTTTTGGTCACACCTCCTTTTGTCAGCCTCACTTCCCATCGTTATTCCATCGTAAAAAGTCTTTTATGACAACATGTCAACCTTTTGTGACATTTGAGACCATCGCAAAAGGTCTAATTTTTAGTAGCGGTAGTTTTATTAAAAAAATAATTTATACAACTTGCATAAGTGATGATCATTTTACAGAAACTATCTAATTTTTTTGCTACACTTTCCCTCCCTAAGCAAATTTTTTAGTGGTGTTTATGACTGCAATCTGGTTAATTGTTCAAAAATTACATTGTAAGCCTCATAAAAAAGTTCATGGGTTGATTTGAGCCCTACCTGGCCGAATTTTGCCTGACCCAGACCTGAGGATGGGCTAGCACCACAGCCCAGACCAGCCCAAAAATATATGGACTATGCTTGGGTAGAAGGGTAAGGCATGTGGCCTGACCTGTTGACTTTTCAAGGCCCCATCCATAATATGTGCATCTCGAAAGCCAATTACCAAGCCCATTTATCTATACTATTTATATTTTATATATTAATATAAAGTGAGGGTTACAGTTGATGTCCATGGTGTCATGTATTTCTCATAGTTCTACTTAAAACAAAAAAGTTATATAGAGAAATGTACAAGATTTAAAATCAAGACTTTGGCCTAAGATAGAAAGTTCTTAACCATTTGAGAAAACACATATTATAATGTTACTTTTATTTTTATTTTTATTTTTATTTATTTATATTATACACGTATTGCATGTACCAATCACTAATAATAAATACTATTTGATCCTCTCTTTCTTTTGGTTTTTTTGGTGCTCGTAAGCAATTTTAGTAAAACAATTAGATTAATATCACTACAAGAAATATGGGTTTAGGTGGCGTTTTTTTAACGGCGTTTTTTAAAACGTCATTGTTTCTAATATTTAACGGCATTTTATAAACGTCTTATTTTTCTTTAATTAAAACGGCGCCGTTTTATGAATAGGAGGCGTTTATAAACGTCTTCAAATGCGTGTTATATCACACGCTTCCTTTTTCAAATATGAGAATCTCAACTTTCAAATTGAACCGATGCACTCACAAATACTCTCTCTCTCTGTCTCTGTGTGTTGTGTCTAAACCCTAATTATCACAGAGATTCAGTTGCTTATCAATGGAATCCTCAGAAATCGAAGTTCTCTCTCAAAATCGAAGTGATTCATCAGAGCGATTTCGAAGTTCATCTCAACAATTTAGGTCAGTCTCAGCGATTCAGATCTCAAAATTGAAGTTCATATCTCGAAATTTTAAAATTCAGAGTTCATATCGCTTCGATTTCATATTGCGATTCAAATCTGAGTTCATATCACTTCAGTTTCGATTCAGATCGTGATTCAGATCTCAGCGATTCAGATCGGTCTCAGTGATTCATATATTGAGAACTAAATGAATAGCACACCAACTACAAAGCTAGTAACTATATTACCACTAAATTAAATATGCATATAAATTAATAACATAATAATAATTACTTAATAAATAAAGTTAATTTTTATGATTCAATATTCAATCCTAATTATTGTAATGCACTTAAAAATTTTATATTATATTTTTTATTTTCTGTGATTATTTAGAATTTAATAAAAAAATTACCAAATTAGGCCCGACCCAAAATTCATAAATCCATATTTTTAAGAACAAGTGTAGGGTCTGGTCTTTAGAAATATAGCATAGGTGAACCTGAGCTTAGCTAGTTGACAGGTTAAAGGCCATGGGTTTTAAATTTGAGAAAAGTTAGGGATCATGAAATTTTTTTTATGAAGATAGTCATGAAAGATTTATGATTCTTGGATTATCTTAATTAATGTGTGGTGTTTTATTGTAAGTGTAATCCAAGGATCATAAAACTTTCATGATTATTTTTATGAAAGATTTTTCATAATACCTAACATTGCCGTTTAAATTTTAGGATCGAGTTGGCCCGACCCGAGCCATTTGCTGACACTTGCAACCAAGGAGAGCTTGGGTTCCAATTCGAAACTCCCACCGACACAGAATTTTGTAGCATTCAAAGGCTGACCACATACAACTTTATTTCCAAGATTTAAATCTTAATTTCTAGGACACCCATGCATGATTACACGTTCTAAATTCTCCAAAAAAGTAGCATCTTAAAATGGCAATTATTCCTCAGGACATGCATGCATGCACATTTAGACAACGTTCACCAAACGTTGATTATCGGCGACACAACAATGGGGCTCCTCACCGTGTGCCCTTCGTTCTCTTCAATCCAAGTTAGTGAACCGAATGTCACTGACCCGTTCTTGTCACCCATATAACTTATGGTCAGAGAGTAGTTCTGCTTCTCATATGTCTTCCCAAACACTAATGTATCTGGTGAAACTCTGACCACAGACAACGTTGGTGCTATCACATTAGCTGTGTAAGACGTTGCGCCGGCTCCAACATTCGTGACGGTCCTTTGAAATGTTTGAACCACCATCCCTGTTGTGTTTGTGTACAAAGCAATGAAAGATGGGTAATTGAGATCAGAAGTGTTTGAGCAACTGTAACTGTTCGATCTTGTTATGGTCAAGATCTGGTTCGCAGTGAAATTCATGGAGCAAAGGAGATTCACATAGTCCTGTGAAGTAGCATCATATATAAGACCCGGATCATTTGCCCTGTTCGGATCAACTTGACCAGATCCCATAGCTAATGGCGTAGCAATTTCGTAACCCAAGCCAATGTCTCGGATTTGATTAAAAGTGTTATCGATTGGGCTTGCTGTGGTCATCATGGCGGAGCGAATGGCAGCCGGACTCCATTCAGGGTGCGCTCCTTTTAGTAGTGCAGCAATGCCAGAAGCATGCGGGCAAGCCATGGATGTCCCGGAGATTGTGACGTAATCACTGGACAAGACAATATTTGAACCAATGGAAGCTGAATATCCATTTGGAATCCAAGATGCTAATACTAGTGTTCCCGGGGCCATCACGTCTGGCTTGAGGATTCCCGGATAGCTCGGCGAAGGACCTCTTGATGTATAGGCAGCAACAGCTGGTGCAGCCTTAGTACCCACAAAGGTTTGTTGAAACTTAATGCTAGCTGTAGGTTGAACAACAGTTTGGGCATAACTGATCAATGTCGGTGCGTCCTTTGGGCTAATCACGACCCCCGGATAAGGGAAAATATTAAACTCAAATATTTGAGGATCATCCGAGATAAAGATAGCTGCAGGCTGATTTGACATAGAAACTTGTTTGATTTGTGTGAAAAATGGCACCGTATTATCGCATATGAGGATCGAGAAAGGGGCCTCAGACAATAATTCAGATGAGTTGCAAGCGGATATAGTCGTGTTGTAGATAATAGGGTAGTTTTCCACGAAGGCACTCGCAGGGAACATGCTCCATCCAGTGATGGTTAACCCATTTCCCAGAGTCACTGTCCCAGCGAACCAACGATCAATAGAACCAGCTGCGACTGTCAAGACCCATGGAATGCCATTGTGCAACCATCCAAGCTCTGGACCATAATTTCCTGCTCAAGAAGAAACAAGCAATCCGTTTTCCATTGCTCCGAATGAAGCTATGGCGATTGGATCCTCATAAAGTGGCGTCTGATCGAAACCCATAGAAATTGATATCACATCAACACCGTCAGCAACTGCCTGGTCCAT